AACTGGCCAGTCTGTCACGGTGACCTGCGGCCACGTGCCCTGAGCATCTGCAGGGTGCAACAAGGCATGGCCACCCCACCCAACTCGCGGGGATCCGCACCCCTGCGCAGCCCCCGGGGATCTGGAGGCAGGTTTTGGTCCTGGCACAGGAGTACCTGGGCACCAAGCCTCTCCACCTCTGTCGACAGCTTCACGTAGCGCTCTGGGAAAGGGAGACAGGAGAAAGAGAGCTCAAGGTGGGGATGCAATGGAAGGATGTACTGAGTGAAACGGTGCTGGAGACGGAGGGAAAAACCAAAGCAAGAAAAGCCAAAAGCCACCAGAGGGGCCTCCCTGCAGCCTGCCACGAAGGAAGGAGGAGGAAGGCAGGGAGCTACAGCACTGATAACGCCTGCCAGGCTCGGAGAAGGGCAGTGCCTGTGCACTGTGCCCCAGCCCCGGCATCAACTGCTGCCAGCGTGGCTGTGGGAGCTGTTATCACCACTGGCGGCTCTTGGGGCAAACCCATAGGGGAGAGGGCAGCGTGAAGAAACCAGCGCCCCATTTTGCAATGCCCCAGCAGGGGCACCGCTAGGCAAGGCAGCAATACCGGTTCTGCACATAGGTCTGGTTCAGCACAACATCCTCGTAGCGCTGCCGGGCAAAATTGCCCCCAAAGCCCAGGAAGGTGTTGACGTAGACACGGTACACGTGGCCAGTGTGCTGCACGTCACAGCCCAGGTTGAATTCTGCCAGCAAGCTCTTAGCAGCCTCCTCCTGGGGACGCAGAGAGGTCCGTGATCAGCAGTGACCCAGGGAAGGCAGGGGCTGCTCTCGGGGCCGGCTGGCCAGATACACACCTGCTGTGGGGAGGAGAAGGCTCCGGAGTCGGGTACTTCGTAGGCGATTTGCAGGGAAGCGCCCCCCATGTCTAGGATCCCAACTGTTCGTTTCCGAACCAGGGACTCTCCCTGGTCTCCCAGTGCTACAGTGACAACCGCATCCTCCTCTGCAACCCACAGCAGCATGTCAGCAAGGGGCAAGGCCTGAGGTGGCATCTCCTTCCTTCCACCGTTACCCTCCAGAGCAGCCTCGTGGGGCTCCTCCACCCCTGCAAGCAGCCCCTGAGGATCACTTGCAGGGCAGCGGGTCCCAGCACTCGGGGCTGGCCACCCCCCAGCTTTGCCCCGCTCACACAGGGACTTGTTTCTGTGACCGGGGCAGGTGCCCCACCAAGTCCCAGGTCCAGGAGAGTTTCACACACGTGGCTGGAGTCAGGCATTGCCTGGCCAGAGGGGCAGGCGCTGCCCCCTCGAGAGCTTGCTCTTAGCTCTAGCAGGGCTCTGCTCAGACCCTCCTAGCTGCTCTATAAGCAGCCGGACTCACCATCCTCATGATCAAACCGGCCCAGGACAAAGTTGATGCCGATCCAAGCATAGACACCTGCATGAGACAGAAAATGTCATTACAGCAATATACTAAAGGGAACCAAGCAGTGCTTTGTGGCAGCTCCTACCTTCCTGTTTCCCTGAGATGACTTCTGCGTGTGATTTGGAGAAGAGGAAATCAAACTCCAGGGGCACGTTTCTCACCAAGTCCTCCAGGATTGCAGCTTGCTGCCTGCAAGACCGCAGGAGAGGGAGAGATGCTGAGGGACCTTTACTGGTGATGCTCCTTTGCAGAAGCACAAGAGACAGCGGGAATCCTGCTGCAATACACGCCACATCCAGCCCCACGAGCACTGCTGCTGCACCCAGCGTGCTTTGGAGACCAGAAACTAGATTTATATGTTTTAGACTTCAGTAAAAAGTGTCTCAGGTCCCTCCCAGCATGCTGAAACCCTCCGTCTGCAGCCCTCACCACTTGCTCCTTTCCCAAATCCACCCCCCAGGATTCCTAATTCTCCCATGAGGCTCAAGACAGGGTAGTTGCCTTCCCCCTTCTCGCAGCT